CGATACCCACCAAGCTAACCCGAGCACGGCCCATAAATGAATCACTCGAGCAGAACACATTATGGAACAACAGTTATCTTTATCTCTGTGTCTGTCTTGCACCGTGTTTTACTTTTTAGATTATTTGTTTATTTTTAAGTCCGTAGAAAGATTTAGGACAGAAGAGGGGATGGTATTTAAAAATAGTCCAATAACAAGACATAACTGGTTTGTCAGTATATAAGGAACGACGGTTTTGGGGTTTATATCAATTTCAGAAGCAGTAAAGTAATACTTGTTTGGAGTAACATTCATATGGAGAATAGGACGGTGGTGGGGCGTGTGGTCGAACCGATTATGTGGGTGGAACGTTCTTTTTTGTTTCTAGAAATTTGTGGCTGATATTTATTTGAATATTTTCTTACAAGTCTTACTTAAACGTAAACCACAAAACAACTATATTAACACAATAATAACAAACATTACATTTTAAACCTAATATAATATTAATATGAAATAGTTTGCCGTTAATCCGTGATACATTTTCTCTTAGTGCTTAAGTTAAAACTTAAGCACTAACATCGAATATATAGGTCTGACATCAGGGCCGTGAAATATATGTTTTAAACCATAACTGGTTGTAGTTGCACATCAACTCACTCTAATGTTGCTGCAAAATCCTGCCTGGGTTTTTACATCTGTAAATCTTAAATGAAGAAGCATGGAAATGAGCTCATAACCACACACACACAAAAATCAAATATTTTTTTCCAGTTTTTATTTTAGGAGATACATTTATTAACATGTTACTAGTCTTTAAATGAGTCTTCTTGAATTTACTCTTTTGTAATTCTCTTGATCTTCAACTTTCTCACCCAGGCACAGATGTGGTCATTGTTAAAAGCGGTCGGAGGATATGTGGCACTGGAGGTTGTCTGGCCAACGCCCCTCTGCACCAGAACAAAAGTTACTTTGAGTTTAAGATCCAGTCCACTGGTAGGTGTTCTTCTGGCTGATGCCACTCTGCTTCATTACTCATCTCTTTTCCTGATTGCACTTTTCTGGTTGATTCCTGGTAATGAATATTGATTCCAACACCCTGTGGTTTTTCAGGGAATGTACTGTCCTGAGGCTGCAGTCAGCAGCAAGATTAATCTTATTATATTCATGTATATCTGTGATATGCACATTTTAAGAATTTATGCTAAAATGTGGTTAGGTTTTCTTTTTAACATTTATTCAATGAATGATTTATAATTTGTTTTAAAATATAACAAAAATGACTTTAGCAAATCTTTATAGGTTTTGTTGGCATAAAGCTGGGTCCAAACAAGATTTGGGAAACTGACAAATCTGGTTTCCTTCTTTGTTGCCTAAACCAGTGTCCCAGACAGCTTTAAATAGTTGTCTTGTAGAGACATAACTAACCAGTTGTAACAAGCCGACCAATGAGTGTGAATGTAGTAACCCTGACCTGAACCTAAAAATGAATTGACTTCATTTTAGATGTTCTTTTCCGACTTTGTGTTTTGAGTGTTGCCTGAGTGCTGTGGTTTGTGCTCAGGTGTCTGGGGGATTGGTGTTGCTACGCAGAAAGTGAATCTCAATCAAGTGCCTATGGGCAGAGACACAAACAGCCTTGTCCTCAGGCATGATGGGTCTGTGTACCACAATAATGAAGAGAAGAATCGTCTCCCTGCAAACAGCCTTCCTCAGGAGGGAGACATTGTTGTGAGTGCAACGTTTTTTACTTTACATTTGTGCATGTCACATAATCGGTATAAGGGAAACAGATTTAAGCCACTTAACCAGGACTCATTAATGAAATCTACCACAACCGGCTTCAGTCTACCACATCTTAGGACTTTGATCAATGATTGAAAACTGACATTTGTAAATCCCTTTATCTCCTACAGCAAAGTCCATAGAGAAAATCAATGGTTTTATCTGCAGTGAACAAATGAGCTGCTGATACGCTGCTGCTTATTAGCAGAGTTTGGCTCAATTACTTCAATCCAAGAAATGCTTTTTAAACACTGAAGTAAAAAACATAACACATTTGAACTTATTAATGATGGCTGTGGTGAATAAGCACATTAAGTAGCAGGTATGATGGTGTCTAGTTTATGTGAGAAGCTGCACAGAGCATTACAGTTTCTGTTCTGTTTCTGTCTATGTTCTTCCAGGGCATCACATATGACCATGTGGAAATGAATTTATATCTGAACGGAAAGAACATGCACTGTCCTGCCTCAGGTATCAGAGGCACCGTTTACCCTGTGGTTTATGGTGAGTTCATATAATAACTTGGTCTGAGATCGTTGTTGCCACAGTGATTGCACAGCACCTCCTCTATATCCTTAAAAAAGGTCAAATTTAAACTGGAAGAACAGCTTATTCTTCCTTTCTTAAATTGTTCTCATATGGTTCTTATATTGAATCGTGTAGTTCAAAGTCAGGTTTACTTGGTACAGAGATGTACATGACATTGGACGATGCAATAATTCTATTATTATAAGTAGTAGTAGTAATCTTATATGTACGTTGTTTTTTCGACAATTAAATCGTGTTGGAATTACAAGGCAGTGCCGCTAGAGGGCAGCCTTTGTACATACTGTATATACACAGCCTTTCTACTTGTAGTTCACAGTTACCTATACTATTTTTGGCTTGGGAGCCTAATGACCAGTCTAAAGTGATCTACCTACTTTGAAAACATTAAATATGTACTTACTCATATAAACCGAATATACTTTATATTTACATTATATGCTGGGTACTGATTCATATAAGTATTGTGTGGCACAATATGACTCAATTCATATAGTATATGGTCATTAATACACACTATAGAATTTTATTTATATATGTTTTTTATTTTGTCTGATATTAACTCTTTGTCGTTATCTAATATGCCACTACTGTCTCAGCACTTTCTGATTCCAATATCAACCAATACCGATATAGAGGGGCAGTGGTGGCCTGGTGGTTAAGAGGTGAAACAATGTAGATCGGCTGATATTATTGGACATCCTTAGTCAAGACACGTTATATGTGTTTTGTTGGTCCTGATGCATGTCCTGCATGAACAGAAGTGTGCCTTTTTTGTTGCAGTGGACGACAGTGCCATCTTAGACTGCCAGTTCAGTGACTTCTACCACACAGCTCCACACGGCTTTGAGAAGATTCTCTTTGAACAACAAATCTTCTAAAGATTTTCTTCAGCTGCAATTCTTTCTTTACATTACATACATTTCTTTGTCTGTAACTGACGGCCGCCTCTGTGACACTACACTTCGCTTTTAAGTGAATGTTATGATTTGTTAAGATTAGTGGCTTGATTGCCTATTTTATGCCAGTTTCTCCTTGATTACTCTTGTCTCTCTGTTGCTTCTGAATTGATGATAGAGTACACCTTAAAGAAGGGGAGACCTATTACCATTGGTAAGCTGTGGATGCCTTTAAACTGAAGGAACAGAAATGGGTTTTAATGTTGAGACTGAACAACATCTTCAGTTGATGCTTTCCATCGTCACCCGCTGCAGAATGCACATTCCAAGGATAAAAAAAAATGAGGCCCCCACATCTCAGAGGGCTGCAGAGGTCTTCAAAACAGCTTTGCATTTTCCTTACACTTGTCCTGAAGTGTTTTTATGGAATATTTATTCTATCTATGAGCGCATCACTAGAGTGTGGTGCTGTTGTTCTCTCTGATAAGAGATCTGTGGGTTACAAATGTCAACCTGTTGTGTTGTATTGAGATTGTTTTGTTTATCCTACGCTGAAGTTATGTTATAAATGCTTGTATTTGTTTGCACTTACTGAAGCTACTGTACAACCATATCCAAATATTGTTGATTCAATAAAGTTTTTTGTCTGAAAGCATCACATTTCATGTGCTGGTTTTTCAGACTATTGATCTGATCTTTTGTTTGCCAACCACGGCCACAAGCTGGCAGTGTAGTCAGTGTTCCTGAGCAAGAAAATCATCAGCTCACTGGTTCAATTTCAGGTCCTTCAGCAATAGACTGGCAAATTGTCTAGGGTCAGCAATAGCACACCTTGCCCCCTGGTGGGTATTGAGGTGAAGCACAGTCTGGTCAGTTATAATGTTCAGTTAAGTGTGCTTGTATGTCTTGCTCTTTATTTCTTTATTATTATTATTATTATTATTCGTTCTCTTTTTCTTTGCTATTGTGATGGTATATGTTTTACGTTCTTGTATCTGGCCCTCTGATGCCTTGTCAACTGATGTTAACTAGGAGTTTCCTCTATTTGTTTTTTGCAGACCCTAACGGCAGTAGCCTCTTTTCTAACGGAACCAAATCTGGATGGAAGCCTCTGTTGTCTGCCTTTGATCTGTACACAATTGGCCATGGGTTAAGGGATTTTATCTTCCTTTCATCTGTGTATAGCAGGTGTCAAACATTTCAAAGGCATGGCATGAATACTCAGGATTCCCAAAATACACCATACAGATGAAGCTTTGCTGAATGTACATGTGTTTAATCTGTAAGTTTCTGTGTAGGAATTGTCTCTACAACATTTAAGCTTAGGTTTGATCACCGCTTTGTCCACTTAAGGTTTAAACGTGACAATGACAACAACACTTAGTGTATCAGTGTTGCTGTATCCTTTAAAAATAGGTAGAAAGTGGTGGTTTCCTTTTCCCTCTTGTTTCTTTCAATATTTTAAGAGGGTATGTGGAAAGCGAAATTGATGACGTCATCTCTACAACCAGAAGATTATGTGCTGTAGAAATCCTAAGATTAAGAGATCAGTTATCCAGTTATTATTTTATTTTTCTTAGCTTCTCTAACACTGTTATCGCTTTAAAAGACAACACAAGATATACAACCTAACTAAATTAACAAGTGCCCTGGTGATTATGGGACAGTGCAGTAACATAGGTATTTAAGTTTTTTTCTGGTCCATAACACATACTTTATAGTGTGTAGCAGTCTACAATTTTACTATTAAACATTTTAAAACACCAATTACCTGCCCAGTGCCTGTAGTGAAAAATGCTCAAAAACATGTAAAGGAGGTAATAAACAAAACCAGTTTTTTCGGATTGTTGCACTGCACAAGTAATATAGATATTCTGAGCACGTTGAATGCCAAAGAACAACACAAAATGTGCCCTACAACAGGACAACTCTGGCAGTTTAGATCACATGTCCTCTTACTTATTTACGATGGCAATGCTTTAGTACTTGGAATAACTACCGTATTTGTTGAAGTCGACCAGAGATTTGTTGTGAAATATTATGGCAGTAAATGACAACTACTTGAATAAGATTCGACTTTTGAGGAATATAATATAATAATGATGAAGGCGTGTAATAACTCCTCCCCTCACTCTGCGCTGTGCTACGCCCTTCTCCTCCTGTTCTCCTCCTCCAGCAGCAGCAGCAGAAGAGGAGCTGCGGTGCCTCGTCCTTCACTAAGAAGATCCCGAAAGCCGGAGCCACCACCGCGAAACCCCCCATACAGCCATGGCAGATAACGCCGGCTTGGAAAACCACCGCATCAAGAGCTTTAAAAACAAGGGACGGGATGTCGAGGTGAGTTTCCATTTCTCTAGGACTTTGTTCCTGTGAATTAAATTAGTTTTCTATGAAAAATGACAGACTTTGGGCCTGGTTGAGGAGCCTTAGCCCCGGCTGCTGCTGTTACCGCTGATCCTTGACGGCTAACTAGCCATAAAGCTAATGTTAGGTAGCTTCAGCAGTTCGCAGTCTAAGGAAATCATCGGCGGTACTTGTCAAATTGTATCTAATGGACAACTGTTTCAAATATTTTTGTTAAAAATAAACGCCATAATGATTTAATGGTTGTAGATGGGACTATGCAGTTAAATGACATATCAGTCACTGTCAGCTAACGCTTAGCATTTACTTGGATGAGCACCGGTCGAAACGAGGGTGGGCCCCACCGGCACCATCATTTCTTTATTGTTTTCACCGTCTCCACGTCTATTTTCAATAAATGCGAGCCAACAACAGTTACAGTAAGATGTCACGATAAGAAATGTGTGAATGTAATGTTATATTTAGAAGTATCCGTTAGTCAACGCAGCCACCTTTACCAAACATTGCCCCTCCTTGCTAACAGGCTAACGATGGCAAATGGAGCACTAGCGTATGATTTCAGGTGAGGAGGCTGAAATATGGCCGTTAGATTAGTCATAGAAATCATTTTAGTTCGTTGAAGTCTTGGTTTTACTATTGTGTCATGCATAATAACCATTGGTTAACAAGGATCCCCTAATTCTTTAATACTTAGACAAGTCATACTAGATTTATTTAACTAGACATTGAATTAAGTACTCGGTAGAAGTATACACTATTCTACGTTGGATCCCCATGTTTTACAGTGGAAAAACGGTTGAAATGATAATGTAAGTATACTTTATGTTGGATTAGACCCTTGAAAGGGAATTGCAAGTACAGTACATGTATTGAGTTGCAGCACTTACCATCACCACCATCAGCTGGCAAATCATACACAGCACACCTTTAACCCCAATTTTGTAAATCCCCAGAACTATACGTCATCTTGTTAAATGGAACTAATATTCAGTTCTTTATGGATGTTTTTTTATTAATCATAATAATAGACACACCTTAAGAGCTTTATATGAAGTCAGTTAGGAACTTGATACACATTTTACTCAGTTACAAGATTCCATTATGTTCAAATTGATTGATTCTCATCTAAATGCATTTTTTTTTTCATTTGCCATTTATTTATTATTATTATATTGAAGCCCTACTCATTCATAGACAGTATTTAGACTTAGCTTCAGACCTGATATTGGGTGGGTATTCTTTCTGTAAAGTACAATTACAGAGCCTGTAATTTGTTAGTTATGACTAGAGTGCTCCACCAGGTATAAATGCTGTGAAGTCGAGATGTGTCACTGCTCCACTCAGAACCTATTCTATGAGCAGATTGAAGCAGTTCCTTGAAAACCTTTGCAGATTTACACACTACATTTGTGTTACCGCCCTGCAGGTAACCTGCCAAATTGTTGTTTCACAATATATATCCCAAAGTCACAGTTCAATCACACACATATAAGGTTGTTTTGAAATTTAGTCAGTGAAGCAAGCACATGGCTACTATAACAGGCAGCATTTGCTAAGTACATTCTTGATGCTATTTCAGGTATCCCAGATATCTGACCTCGTTTCTCCTGTATGTCTCTGTATAAGAGATGACTCACGATAAAACAAAACATTTAGGTTTGATGTATTTATGTCAGGCACAACAGATTTTCCTCTTCTTAACATTATATAGAGCAGCTTTGAATTCCACAGTTGTAAAGTCTTACTTGATCCCTGTCATAATCCACCAGATCCTGCCTGGTTTTCTGTGATGATATAAAATGAAATAAGTGTAGTTTTTTTTTTAATTTCAACTATCTACAAATGTTCTAATTTTGTATTCATTTTCCAGGTTTGAGAACAAAAAAAAAATAGAGTTCACTACTAAATGTAGTTATTTGTTTAGCATAAACAATGGTGTTTTTAATGCATTCTTGAAATGGGTCCAGACGTATTAAAAATAATTTTGAAATCATATGAACTTAATTGATCCCAAAATGGGGAAATGCTGCAACAGGCTGCCCCTTGGAAGCATCAAGTATGTGGTTCTACTGGGAGTCGAACCCAGGACTGATGACTTGTGCTAACCACTACACCAGTGAATGTAGTGCATCAAGTAAAAATATTGCCCAAAAATTGTGTGGTTTGATATATAGCTGTGTTGTTGGAGCAGTGGTTGGGAGACACCGTTGCTCTTCTCTTTGCTCCTCTTGAGTTATGACTGTCCCCTATTACGTAACAGGCTATTTAGGAGAGCAACATGAACCATTCAAAGAGTCACAAGATGTTGAGACTCTCTCAAACTGTCCAGGATAAAGAGGAAAACCAACAGAAACACAATACAGCAATCTTTCAAGATCAGGCTTATCACATGGCCATGTTATAAAATTGTTAATTATGGGTTGTTTTTTTACACAAACAAAAGTTGAGAATGCTGTGAATATACATATACATTTATTTACTTTTTTCTTTTGCAGACTATGAGAAGACATCGAAATGAGGTGACAGTTGAGTTAAGAAAGGTAAGAGAAAATGCACCATCTGTCTACACACACTTACGCCAAACCTCAGGCTACATTCTACATGCCCAATTTTTGCTTATATTAAGACAAGTCTCCACAAACTTCTTGCCTAAGAAACAAGTCCATTTCGGAATAACAGCAGAGTTTCTGTTGACTGTTTTTCATTTGAAAGGAGAGTAACAGAACACATTCTGTAAACCTGTTTGCTAAAAGCTTCAGGGTGCAGAATTTAGGTTTATTGCACCTTTTGAATATCACTTAAATTGGTCAAAGTGATAAAGTTTTAAATATTAATACCCAACATGTTGAACAATTTACAACATGACCATGCATTTCCAATGCAAGTCATTTGCATCAAGACTTACACAAGTTATTTTGATTTTCTTTACCCTGATAATTTGCTAATTTGTACCCTAATCAAAATATTATATTAAAAATACAATGTGGTGTTGGGTTTTTATCCATTCTGCAAATGCTGCCTTGCAAGTGAAAATATTTAACAGACTAAGCAGCCACGATAGAGTAGAGGACAACACGTATAATTATGTATTTAACATTGAGATGATGCATTCATGAACAACCATACACTATAATCATAACAAACAGGAATGTTGTATCAACCAGTCTCAGCCTTACGGGGAAAAAAAACAAAAACAACGTTGTCAGTTTCTTTAATGGATTGTGTATTTGAGGCTAAATGGTTTATTGTCCAAAATAGCAGCTTTTTATACCTGTTAGATTAACAATTTTTGACAAATATTAAGGGTCACCTAATTTACATTTTTAATGTATTCATTTTTTGAATAATAAGTAAGAAATGACAGTGTAATCTGCACAACGACACTGATTGTTTTTTTTTTTTGTTTTTTTTTGTTGAATTTAATTGAATCTCTTTGGTGAGGTAAAATCTGGAGTCGGCCCAAATTGGGACCATACAACCATAGCTAAAGTAACTAGCAATGAATCTTTGCTCTTTGCAGTGAAGCCAAATGTACCTGTGCTTATAACTGAGACAAAAAGAAAACGAAACCCCTAAATGTATTAAATGGTTCATGCAATAAAGTAAAGCTTTCATGGTCACTCAGGTCGGATGTGGAGCAGCTTCTTGTTGTATACTTGTATGGTTATTTGTGGAGATCACATCTAGGTAGAATGATGTGTGGAATGGTTCTCTTCTTTGTAGAAGGATTCAGGGTTTGATTACAGTTATTTAATATATCATCCAAGTGCTGAGTCCAAGTCTGGGTAAATGGAATGTGTTGTGTTAAGAAAAGCAACAGAAGTTAAGTTATGTGCTGAAATAGTTACGAGTGAATGCTGCACATTTTTGGTTTTCATAGCTTGTACTGCCAATTGTTTGAATGTTATCCCCCTGATCTCATTATAATTGTGGCCTTTGAAACAATATTTATGTGTGTAGGTGGTTAAAATAGTTGAATTCCTTTGGAATTGAGTAAAATCAACTCATTGGTACTTTACTTATGATTACTGATTACTGCATATTTGTTAATATGACAGTTGACTGATCGATACACAGTGATGGTGGTGATTATGAACAATCCATACAACATACTACACTTAGAAAGCATTTGTCTGTAAACAGGCTCAGTAGAAACATCACAGATGTTCAAAGAGCACTGTCACAGCCTGGGTTGTTAACAAAAACATCCTCGTGTCACTGCTGTGTGGAGTGCTGAGCTGGGTCTGAAATCCAGCACATTCCTTGCAGCATGGTCAGAGGTGCAGCATGAAGCACTGCGCTGGCTGATTAGTCATCAGTGACGCACATGAAAATGGTGCACGGCAGGAATGTAGGCCATGGGATTCTCCTCCTACAAGTGACTCACATGCTCTGCAAAGTAATGGGATGTGAGGGCCTATGTAACCACAAACACTTGAGATGGGGGTTGCACTGTGTGAAGGTTCTGTGACCTCTAGAGATGTGCTTTTGTTTTGTGAAATCATGATAAGCAATATTTCTGAGAGCCAGCTACTTTGAAGTTTTTGAAAACCACCATGTTTGTGTGTCTTAAAGTCAAAAGTCTGGATGAGTGAGGATTTGTTTTCATAAGGTCTAATTTTCCAAGAAGTCATGAAAGCACTGGGCAACACTTGCACCTCTGCATTACATTCCTGGTGTTTACATCTCCTCTTTCTTCTGTCAGAACAAACGAGACGAGCATTTACTGAAGAAGAGGAATGTCCCGCAGGAAGAGAGTCTGGAGGATTCTGACGTTGACTCAGACTTCAAAGGAGTAAGTGTGTGTATGTTTTAAGTGAGAGTGACGGAGGGTTCTAAAAAAGGGCATCAAACATTGTTATACAGGGTCCTTATTTAAGGAAGCAGTAATTGAAAGTAAAGAAGAAATACAAAATATTTGTTATACTATATTTAAACATGATTATTATCTGAAATGTTGGCTCGGAGATTATGTTTAAAGTAGATTCGGCTGAGTTTGATAATAATCTTTAGCCCATGTGAAATTCTAAACTAGTTCTACCCATTTGACTTAATTGTATTTTAGTCAGAAGCACTGTTTAAATTTAAGTTAAGCTGTAGTTGACAAAATATAAATTATGATATAACTTTTTGGACAGCTTTTAAATTGGACTTCAACATTGGAGTCAACAGAAAGGCTGCTGTGCATCAGTACAACTAATGACAAGAGGCAGCAACAAATTTGACTTCTTAGCTTAGTCATATTTGCTCATAACAATGTTTCAGTCTACTTACTCATCAGGTTGACATGCTTTAAATGTTCTTTCCTCAAATAGTTATTCTGTAATAATAATGTTAATATGGTTTCCGTTATTTAATGTTTTTTTCGTCACATTATTTCACAAATTGAGTATTCGTGCTCCTGTCTTTGTACTTTCTCTTGTTTATTCTACTATCAGACACACATTCACTTTAGTTGGCTCCCAATTTAGGTGTTTCGTCTTCCAGCTAGCAAACATAACTATTTGTTTTTATTCATTGCCATAATGTAAATTCACTAAGCCTTGCATAACTTCTAATTTAGCTTTTGTGGATGAAACACAGGTTGTTGATAAGTCTGGGGTATAATTTATGAGTCAAATCACTCTCGTTTTTAATGTGGTGCCTTTTTACGTCTGTTTTGACTGTTTGTTTCAATTTCACTTTCAGCAAAATGTCACGCTTGATGCCATCTTACAGGTAAGCTATCTTATTTTCATCACTGATTGTGTTAAGTGCTTGTGTGTCAAATAGCTGAATTGCTTCAAAAATTGTATTCCTGTCTGACATCTTTCTCCTGTTTTGTCTGAATGTTTAAAAAAAACATTACAGAGACCTTGTTTATATGTTATAGGAGAACAATGCACTCTCCATTCCGCTCTCCCTCCATGACCTCATGGACTAAGCACATAAAGGGAGTGTGGAAGCTCATAGAAGCAGCAAAGATAATTGTGTATTCATAGCCATTAACACAATGTGTGTATAGATACAAATAGAACACCTTTGCCAGTGAAAGTCAAACATGTTTTGTAATCAATATCCAATAATCAAGTAATGTTTTTTTTATCTTTGTGTAACTGCAGAATGCTACCAGTGATAATGCAGTGATTCAGCTCAGTGCTGTACAGGCAGCCAGGTAAGGGACTGATGGAGTACACACAAATACAGCAACTAACATTTAAAGCCACACTTACTGGTTTTGTTCATCATTGTCTTTATTTTGTTTTTGTTAGAAAACTACTCTCCAGTGACAGAAACCCTCCAATCGACGACTTGATAAAGTCTGGAATTCTGCCCATTTTAGTCAAATGCCTGGAAAGGGACGACAAGTGAGTCTAACTTCCCAAACCTTCGCCCATGTTTACCACAACAATGGCTGTGGGCACAAGATGTTTAGTTTTCCCGACTGCATCTACACGTGAGAGGCATGCAAGGCAGTTGACTAATACCACCACCCCCACCCATCCATTCCATCCCAAGCCAAATATAACAGCATTCCTGTCTCTTGGACTTCCACAATTCCCAGGACCTTGAGTTCGCCAAGGGAGTTGGAAGAGTTGTTAAAGTTTAAGAACATTAAGGGAGTGTTAGTTTAAGTCATGATAACCCTCAAGTGATTACGTCAGCGGGGGACAAAACTATGTTTGATATTTAGAAAATAAAGTAGTTTAATACAAATAACAATTGCCAGTTGCTAATGATATAGATTGAATAAAAAGTTTTATGTCCAAAGAGTTTTCAGTGCTGTTTTAGCTGCATATCGGTTAAACTTACATAAAGTGCAAAGGCAGTTGAGTGTTTGTTTTCATATTTCATGGTTTTTTTGAACATCATATGCCCTGATAAATGTAAAATTAGTTCAATATCTCTTTTGCCCCCCACAGCCCCTCTCTTCAGTTTGAAGCAGCATGGGCTCTGACCAACATTGCGTCTGGGACTTCAGCACAGACCCAGGCTGTGGTTAAATCCAGTAAGTTGACCCCTGCATTCTGCTGGCCCCCATTTTTAGCTCATTAGTCTGTGTTTGCGCAGCGTCTGCAATCTGTCTGGGAAGAATATTTATTTGTTTTTTCACTCACCGAGTCAGACGACTCTGACCGAGCTTGAGTTTCTCATAAAAACATGATTGCAGGGTGAGAAATGTTTTCAGCATTTATGTAATCACATGGTAATAAAAACTGTTCACCATTCAGTGGGTCAAAACTTTAATGTACAGGGGCTTGGATTATGATTAACCATTGATCTGGAAATGTATCTGACTTCTGAGATTAAATGTGGTATTCACCTTTATCATAACACTTTATGAGATTGAACTTTGATTTTATTTAAGATATAGATATAAACAGACTGATACAGTTGATAGATTAGGTGTTATTCACAGTAGTATTTGTACAGTACACTAATGTAGTATGGGCAGATTTTCTTTGGTAATGTCATTCTCATTCTCATCTCAGAATTCTGTGGAGAAAAGTAATAGCCCTCAAATAAGGGTTCAAAGAAGATGACTGCCTGAGATTAGAGCTGCTTTGTTTTTATTATCTTTCAACTAAAACCTAACAACATTTTATCTCAGTTTTGACTGTCTTTCTCACTGAAGCTTGAATTCAGTCACAGGAGATGGATTTTTGATCTGTGCTTTGATTATCCAGATGCTGTTCCACTGTTTCTGCGACTGCTACAATCCCCTCATCAAAATGTTTGTGAACAAGCTGTATGGGCTTTAGGAAACATCATAGGTAAAGAGTTGAATTTTTGTTTTTATAAACTGCGTGGGATGAGGGGGACTTGGATTTGTATTGACGTGCTCCTTGTGATCCCAGGTGATGGTCCACAGTGCAGAGATTATGTCATCTCTCTGGGGGTTGTCAAACCGTTGCTGTCCTTCATCAACCCATCAATTCCAATAACGTTCCTTCGCAACGTAACATGGGTCATTGTTAACCTGTGTCGCAACAAGGATCCCCCACCACCCATGGAGACTGTGCAGGAGGTACGTGTGTCTAGGGGTGGGAGAGGGGGGTTGTCTGCGTTGGCAAATAAAAGCCTGCAGGCACTTTCACAGGGAAATGTATGAACTGCTCTGCAGTTGACTGTCATTGTCACAGCAGGCTCAGTCACACACTGATTCTCGGCAGACAAATCGGCGTCATTCCCTCAGGCGACTTTGAAATGATGGAGCTTTTGTGGAGGAGTTTGAAGTCTAAATTTGACAGCTTTTTTGTCTTCTCTCTCTGCCGTGCTTTTATTACCACATCATTCTACCACCGACCTTACAACTTACAATTACATTTTTTCCAATCTCCACAGATTTTACCAGCCCTGTGTGTGCTCATATATCACATCGATATAAATGTAAGTTTAATAAATACATTTTACAGATGGTTTGTGGTGTCGGCTCGACAGTCATCAACTTATTTTTGTACCTTCAGATACTAGTAGATACAGTGTGGGCTCTGTCCTATCTGACGGACGGAGGTAATGAGCAGATCCAGATGGTCATCGACTCTGGGGTTGTTCCTTTTCTTGTTCCACTTCTAAGTCATCAGGAGGTAAAAGTTCAGGTGAGTGTCTAAGTTTTGTTGACAAAATAATGTATTGTGTATTTGATAATATATGGTTTATATCTTTTTCTGTTGTTTTTTTTCCCACCTGTCATTCTTGATCGTCTTAGACGGCAGCTCTGAGAGCAGTGGGGAACATTGTGACGGGAACAGACGAGCAGACACAGGTTGTGCTCAACTGTGATGTCCTCTCACACTTCTCCAATTTACTTACACACCCTAAGGAAAAAATAAATAAGGTATTAAGATTGAAGTTTGTTTTTAATTTTTTCTCAATCCAGATTTTTTTTTGTGTGTGTGTGTCCAGTGCGCACATGAGGGTCTGTGTTGATAATTTTGCCAAACCTGGGAGAAATGTAGCATTCCCCAAGATGGTTTGGTTGTATATTGCAGTAACAGCATACATTTTTTTCCAGATATTTTGCTTTTAAGTTTCCAAAGCAAAATTGTGAGAATGCTTTTTTATTTTTTAGGAAGCAGTTTGGTTCCTCTCCAACATCACAGCTGGCAACCAACAGCAGGTTCAGGCTGTTATAGATGCAGGATTGATTCCTATGATCATTCACCAACTGGCAAAGGTTTGTACGTGGTAGAAGAGCAGAGGCGACATCCCTTTAGTTTTATGTGCTAAAATCTTACTTCAGGTTCCCAACAGATGGTAGAATCACAATTTAAAATACTGGCATTGATTTAGATATATTCAGCAAAAAAGGTTGAAAAGTTTTAGTCCAAAAAGCAGCACGGCAGTGACTGCAAACATAGCAAACAATGCTTCTAGAAGCATTTGGAATCTTGCTGTACTAGAAACAACATGCTCCTTGCACATCTTAGTGACAGCCTGTCTCTCTGCAGGGTGACTTTGGCACTCAGAAGGAAGCAGCGTGGGCCATCAGCAACCTTACCATCAGTGGGAGGAAAGACCAGGTGAGCCCGTCATGCAGACCGTGTTTTAATGCATTGAAACATTTATACTGTACGAAGTCCACTGATGTCACGGACTGTCCAGCAGTTTATAAATGTTACATGCAATGGCTGTTGTGAGTGCACATTCTTTACATTCTTAACCTTCTGCTGTGTGTTGTAATCAAGTATGGATGTGGTGTGTACGTGTGGGTTTGTGTAGGTGGAGTTCCTGGTGAAGCAGGAAGTCATCCCACCTTTCTGTAACCTGTTGTCAGTAAAGGACTCACAGGTGGTACAGGTGGTTCTGGACGGCCTCAAGAACATCTTAATCATGGCAGGAGAGGAAGCCAGCACTATCGCAGAGATCATCGAGGAGTGTGGTGGTGAGTTCATCTTTGTGTTACGACCTGAGCTGCTCACTTCATTTCTCTGATCTGTCTCAGAGTTTAAGCATATGTGTGTTCTGTGGAGCTGCTCATGTCTACTTAAGTGTGTGGCCTGTGCTCTAGATGCAATGTATTGACTACAATGAATTACACTTTTTTCAGGTTTGGTGAAGATAGAAAATCTGCAGCAGCATGAGAATGAGGATATTTATAAACTAGCCTTTGAGATAATCGATCAGTACTTTTCAGGAGATGATGTGAGTTTGATTACATTTCCTTTATACTTCATATACTTGACATTATTTGTTTTAATCTGCAGTCTGTAACTCATACCTGTCCATTGCAGATTGATGAAGATCCCAGTTTGATCCCAGAACCTACTCAAGGAGGAACCTACACTTTCGACCCAGCTTCCAACATGCAAACAAGTTTTAATCTGCAGTCTGTAACTCATACCTGTCCATTGCAGATTGATGAAGATCCCAGTTTGATCCCAGAACCTACTCAAGGAGGAACCTACACTTTCGACCCAGCTTCCAACATGCAAACAAAGGAGTTTAATTTCTAAAAAAAAAAAAAGTAAAAGAAAAGCCAGGATATTTGGGTTCAGCCAGCTGCACGGGGGACTCTGTATTTACCCCAGCCATCATCCATCTGTCCTCCAAACCTGGCAACCTCCTGGCACTGAAGGATTTACTTAGCATCATTCAAACTCCCCACTGAAGGATTTAACCCACCTCTGCACTGGGGGGTGTTGTTTTTTCCCCCTCTTCCTTCACACAACACTGCAACATTCAGGATTTGTGCTCACAAATACGGCACCATGACCATCTAGCAAAACCTGCATCAGGGGAATTCTCTGGAGTTTTTTTTTCTCCTCTGCCAGTGCTTCAAAAAATATCACACAAAAATGAAAACCAGAAACGAGAAGAAGCCTTCGGAGCAAGATCTTATTGCCAAATGGTTATGTCCTCAAAAAGACAACAACAGATTTACACACAAAGACACACACACTTTTTTGACACTTAGGATCTGTGTGTATACTTCAGTTTGAAGGCATCATATCACTTCGGGGGCAAGAATATACTGCTGTTTGTTTTGTTTCTTATTTTGTGCTTACCCTCCTCCTGGATTGTCCTTTGTTTTTTACTTTATCCACATGCACGCACACCATTTATTCAAGTATTCAAACACCAACACATTTAGTCACACTGACGCCTGATGGCCTAGGTCACCTTAAATAATAAAAGAAACAACTTCTATCAAGTACGAAGAGTTGCAAGACTCTTGGTGTTTGAAGAATGAAGCCATGAATCATCAACAGACACTCCTCAAATGAGTTCCTGGGACAGGTGGACGGCTCAGTAAAGGGCTCTAAAAGCAAACGGAGGACTCCATGGAAAACTGACTGGATTGACTCCTGACTTGATGTGACCTCTATTCAGTTGTCACACCTAAAAAAAAAAAGGAAAATCAAAAATGTGAAGAAAATAACATAAGAAAGTCCCCTCTACAAACAGCAGAAATGACCTGCTATGCTGTCTCTGCATCTAAGTGTCGGACACCACAGACTAGCTTTTATTTTTTTATCTTTTTTTTCTGGCAGTGAGGGGATGAAACCCGTGGAGCATGGAGGCACCACTTAGGTGAAGACTCAGAGACATAAGAGAGAAAAGGAAGTTGTCAGCTGTAGCCTTTTTCCCCTAACAGGACAAATAACCATGTCTGCAGTATGAGCTGGGGTTGTGATCCAGTATACTGTGTGCTCGGGACTCCCCTGTAATGTGAAACCTCCACAGAAGGGAGGGTGGAGGGAGGTTGAAACTTTAAATCAATTGGAATTTGCTTCTTTTAAGAAATCCCTTTATTCAACGATTTTAATATCAGGCTGAATCTGTGGAGCTCTCGTTATATTTTGTTGTACTTTTTTTTTTTTTTTTTATCATTTTTCTTCTCTTCAGTCTTATGCACACTTGTCAGCAGCACATCCATGTCTGCCCAGAGAAAAGGAGTTTAATGTTTAAAGAGTACAGGTTCCTGACGTTAACTTCAACTTTTGGATGGAGAGGTCACATCATGGTCATCACTCGATTTGAATAACTGTAAAAATGTGATGTGTTATCTCTTTTCTCCTCCTCGCCGTCTAATGAATATATACATATATTTACACAAAGCCTGTACAAAGCTGCTGCAGCTGACACTCACTGAACGGACGATGACCTTGTCAAAGATGTACAAGGAAGTTTTCCTGGAATCTGTTGGAGCAATAGTTTGTTTTATTTTTATTTTTTATTTCACACCTGCTTGTATAGTGACAAGTTGGATCAGGCTGTGTTTTTCCCCTCTTCATGGTGGTGATGGGCTCTTTTTAAAAAAGAAAAACCAACCAAAAAAAAAAAAAAAGTACCGTCCCATGTCCCATGTCCCAGTTGGTGTGTAGGATCTGGTTTGAGGTGTAATACTGACTCAGACCCTAGTCCTTGTCTGGAAGACTGATCCTCTGTATGGCTGCTAACTACTGAGAGGGGGTCAGAGTAAGGGAGGGTAACACATTAGGGGGTTTTAAATATTGTGTTGGGTTGTTATAAGCAGCCCATGCTTGTTTTTTTGGGGGGGCGACTAGCTGTTTATTACTGAACAAAAAAATCCTTAGACGGGGTGTACAGTCATGAACTAGCAGAATAGACCGAGCCACTTTAAAGATTTACAATTTTGTTGCCTTGTATCCAAACTGGATACAAGCTTGTGTTTGTTGCAAGATTTTTACTTGCTAATGAAAAAAGTTGTTTTAAATATGAAAAAAAAAATAATAATAATGGGAGAAAAGCAACAGACAGCGTTTTGGCCTCTGATTGTTTATATCTTTTTATAAATTTTAGATTGAATTCTTCTCTTTAAGGTGGCTCATTGATGCTTTCAACTCTTGTGCATATTAAAGAAAAGAATGAGTTGAAAAATCATTGTGCCTTTTGTTGTTCATTTCAAATGAAACTTCAGTTTTATTAAACCGATTGGACAACTGGAGAAAGTTGTGGCTTCTTCCACTGTGGTGGAGTTAAACAGACGATCCAGTATTTTCTGATGATGAGAGTAAAAGCCATGGGAAATTTACTCTCAACTCCCCCTGTTCTTTGAAAACCATTATTGTTACATTTCAGTCAGGGGATTTTGATATCATTGCCTCTCATCTCGCCCTCAGGACATGATCTGTGTTTTTGACCCTAACCAAAATAAAACTTGATGTTGAGCCACTGGATCCTCACTGGTTCAAGTGTTGTGATTCTCGCACACAGTTTAGTGCTAATTTAGTTTTTTATCTTAATATAATCCTCAGTGTGACTTACTATTTAAGATTAATTTAGGAGAGAAAATTTTTGTCCTTTGTCTTTGGTGTTCTTTTTTTTCATTTATCATGTGGGGCCGACTGCAACATCATAATAATTTCAGGTTTGTACTCATCATTCTGTTGATTTTCTTTCTTAGTAACATTCAATCTCACTTCTCAGAGATGACTGTTTTTATTAAATATTTGATAATGGCCATAATCTTGACATTTTCCTTTGCTTTAATTGAGTTTGTTTGATCTGAGGGCAAATACCAACGAAAATAAATATAAGAATGTAACTTTTTGATCATAAGAACAGTTAACACGAGACTTAATGACCTTGATATTTTAATATTGCAAACAGTATTGTATGTCTGTATTTTCTAAGTATTTATTTCTTGTTTTTCCAGGATGGTGTCAAGCAGTAGGAGAAGTTTTCACGAAGATTGGCTACTCTGAACTCTGCCAGCGATTATTCGGGTCTAGCTACCCACGTGACGTGATGTTTCTCCTCAGTATTCCGCAAATAATCGACGGAAAAGCTTTAGCACAGACATTAGCTGCTAACGGCATGGCAGCTTCAGCGCAAATATACAAAGACCGTTGTAACCGACGTGTACTCGACTCATGTTAAAAGGGCAGGTTCCGGAAGTGTCAAACAATTCGGCTGACTTTCTGACAGGTGGGTGTCATCTTTGTGTTTCAGAATATTTTGCATTTTAAAAGCTAATTTGCTAATGCTAACAAACGGCGTTGTTCAGATTTGATAGACGCCACGGAACAAGGCACTGAACTATGGTACATGCTCTGCTCTTTACTTAGTCTCTGTCTATGTCGTCTCGTTGTCAAATACATTTGTTAAATACTGTTTTGTTTATAATTAGCCGACTGTTAGCCATTTCCTTTACCACATTGTTGTTTACGTACTAAATAAATTTGTGGCCCGTGGGTTTTTAGTGTTATAAAAGTGAGGCTCCGACACAGTTTTTTATACCTGATATATAGATGTCGGCCACATAGTTCAGGAAATAGCTAGTCAAGTTTCTCACAGAGTTAATTTTACAAATCATTTTACAATTATTGTTTGTCTTTTTAATTGGCGTTCAATACGTTTTAGGTCAGTGGCTTCTCTGTCCTCCATGAAACCAAAAACTCAGCATAATAGTAAATTATTAAATTTAATGTGTGATTTAGATTTGGATAGACAGGATGTGGAAACAGTGGCTCTATGGATGTAAGTTAAGATGATTGGCTATTTTTTTTGACTCAATCCAAGGTCTTTGATCCTTTGAAGGATCCGAGGATCATGTAAGGGTCTCAGAGAACCCAGAGAACACAAAAAGGAGAGGAAGAACCTTACTATCACAGTTATAAGTTGTATAATGAAAAATTATACATTCACTCATTTGCTTTTATTTTACCTGGCTCTGTTGATTTAAAACTGCATGTTTGCTAGTGTCACAAGTCAGAGAGCATTTGGAACAAAGTGAGCTTATATAATACTGGAGCTGTCATAACACTGTGGATAATGTATCCTAAGATAAATATGATTTATCATAAGGTTGAAGAAAACAATGCTAATACCTTCAAGGATTCTAAAATTTTAAGCAGCTTTAACTGGCGCTGATCAGAGACTAATGTTACACAACATGACCCACTTTCTGTCTAATCTCCCAAGTGAGACCATGAAAGATCTCAGAACCTTGCATTCAAGTCTGTTTAACAGCTGTTGTTTATTGTTAAGTTGTATATATGTTTATCTTTTCTACCTGACATTTTGTAAACGTACGCTAATAACTTCTTTGACCAAGATCAGTGTTTTAAACCAAAATACATCAATGTTAATGCCTGTGTGTTTTCACACACAACTGCAACCCTCCATCACCCTTGTCATTTTAACATGTCCTCTTGAATCTGAGCTAAATTTTGGATTCCCTCCACAGTCTGTCTGCATCATGGTTGATGTAGCCAAATGGCCAGTTTTCAGCATGTTGGGGCCTCAGGAGCTCTCCATGATACAGAAAGCCATAGTGTTTGGACTGTCGGCAAATGAGGCCATTTACATCACCAAAGATAATGAGGTAGACCACCATTACACAGAGTTGTTGGTTGTTTGTTAGGTGTGACCTGTCTCTTCCTCAGCTCCTTATCACTGATCCACTGTATGTCGTCTGTTCCTGTCACACCCAGGTCTACGTGTTTGGGATGAACTGTAGTAACTGTCTGGGAATAGGGGATAGCCAGAGCACTATTGTGCCCAGGAAGCTAGATTTCCTGAGTGGAAGGAAGGTCGTCAGTCTGAGCTACGGCAGTGGACCCCACGTTGTGTTGGCCACAGAAGGTAGCTACACCAGATGTAGACCACAGTGTTTCCCTTACATGCATCCAACCTTATTTGTAACTTCACAGCATTATTAACCAATGCAGTTATCAATAACTTGGATCTTGAACTTGGAGTCCTTGCTAACACAGAATCTAACATGGATGTCTTATAACATGAAAGTGGTATAATACCAGATATGTTACTCTAGAGCAGGGTGGCAAACTGTTCCACAAATGGCCACTGTGGCTGCAGATTTTGTTTCAAATCTACCCAGAGCACAGTTACTGACAAATCAGCTGTCTGGATATTCAGATCAGTTGATTAAAAGAGCCAAGTCAGGTGTGCTGCTGCTTGGTTGGAACAAAAACCTGCAGCCACAGCAGCCCTTTGTGGAACAGTTTGCCACCCCTGCTCTAGAGCTTCTCTTTAGAAGTGTTCCTGTGTTGTAAGCTTTTACTTTCTAATGTTAATTTGTCTAGAAAAGAAAAGTATTAGGACACAATCTGCCTACGTATTGGGGAGAAATTCTTAGGAAACACTCGATTTATGTCCTTCAAATAAAAAAAAAGGAATGTATTTCCATTTAGATAATTATAGTTTAGACAATGCTTATTGTGATTACTTAACATAAGTCTCTCATTAGCTTAAGTGCACATGAGTTGCCTGTTGAGTTTCATTTTTTGTGCAAAAGAAATCTGGTCTAAGGAGAGAACACAGCAATAATAACACAAAGTAAAATATTAGGTGAGTTGCAAAAGAAAACCGTTAAAAGAAAATTGGCCACAGAAGTTTTAGTTTTGAGTTTATGAGTTAAGAGTTAAAGTGCTTATTTATTGAACAAACAGTTTGGTCTCCAGTGTTTTCTAAACAACAGCAATGTATTTTCAAATAAGAATTATTAGTGAGTGTGTTAAGTATTGGCATGACACATAAAAATAATCATTTTGGTTAGTAACAACCCAGTAACTAAAGGTAAAGGTGAAGGGTTTCATTGTTACATAATTTCTATCCTCAATGTCCAACAAGCCACAACATATACTTTGGAAATGACACAGATCAGATTTTGCAGCTTCAATACATTTATCTCTTACAGATGGAGAGGTTTTTGCTTGGGGTCATAATGGTTACAGCCAGCTGGGAGTTGGGACGTGCAACCAAGGAGTAACTCCAGTCCTCGTGTCAGCCAACCTTCACAGTAAAAAGGTCACAGAGGTCGCCTGTGGGTCCCATCACTCAATGGCTCTGACTGACACAGGAGAGGTAAGAGGAGTGGTGGAGAGAAATGTGCTTTTATCTCCCCTGTACACAGAGTACAGTACAACGAAGAATGTTTTGTCAAAAACCAAACCAAACCAGTTTCTTCCTTCTTGATTCTTCTTATGTATGCAACACATTTGTTTTCAATTTTTTTCTTAGAGGTAAGAATAGGTTTGATGGTTTCATGTTTATGTCATATTTCATATGTGCATTTTTAATTAGCAGCTTCAAAATCCAATTCCCATGTTTGAAGTGTGGGTTACAGTTTGAGAAATTGGTGTTACAGTTTAGAAATCAATTATCCTTTTTAAAAAAAAATTTTTACAACTAATATACAGTGGGTAACATTCAGAACTGCACTGAGGAACTCCTCAGTGCTCAAAGCTTAAATACAGTTTTTTACACACACATCAATGGTCAGAACCTTAACCCTTTACAGCCATGTGGTGTTCACGCACCACTTCTGAGCGCTGATTGGCAAAGGCTGCTCCAAACAAAGATTCTCCACCAATAGAAAACATGTACATGTGCTGAGCTATTCTGCTCAGTAACTCAGGTTAGATCAAGGAAATACACTTTGGATTCTTTTCCTGTTTGATGTTCTGTTTTCCTCATTATTTGGGCAGAGAAACTGGTTCAGGCCGGTTCTGTGACCTGTCTCTATCTCCAAGCGTAACAGTCAGTGCCATCCGTACCATACACCATCCTGTTATGTAAACCATCAGCATGCACACCTTTCTTCAGTACTTCTCCTTTTAGTACAGCATTGAAAAACAAACAGTATAAATTGATATGGAAATTTAATATAATGAATACATTGTTAATATTTGAATACATTTATTTACAATATCTTAACAGTCTTTATGGCAGAGTGGCCCGACGGAAGCCTCTCCTCGGTGTATGACACATGAAAGCCCGCATAAAGTTTACTAAAACAACACCTGAAGGACTCCAAGATGGGGACAAATAAAATTCTCTGGTCTGATGAGCCCAAATTAGAACTTTTTGGCCTTAATTCTAAGCGGTATGTGTGGAGAAAACCAGGCACTGTTCATCACCTGTCCAATACAATCCCATCAGTGAAACATGGTGGTGGCAGCATCATCCTATGGGGGAGTTTTTCAGCTGCAGGGACAGGACGACTGGTTGCAATTGAAGGAAAGATGAATGCAGCCAGGTACAGAGATATCCTGGACCAAAACCTCTTCCAGAGTGCTCAGGACCTCAGACTGGGCCGAAGGTTCACCTTCCAACAAGACAATGACCCTAAGCACACAGCTAAAATAACCAAGGAGTGGCTTCGGAACAACTCTGTGACCATTCTTGACAGGCCCAGCCAGAGCCCTGACCTAAACCCAATTGAGCATCTCTGGAGAGACCTGAAAATGGCTGTCCACCAACATTCACCATCCAACCTGACGGAACTGGAGAGGATCTGCAAGGAAGAATGGCAGAGGATCCCCAAATCCAGGTGTGAAAAACTTGTTGCATCATTCCCAAGAAAACTCATGGCTGTACTAGCTCAAAAGGGTGCTTCTACTCAATACTGAGCAAAGGGTCTGAATACTTATGACCATGTGATATTTCAGTTTTTCTTTTTTAATAAATTTGCAAACATTTCTACATTTCTGTTTTTTTCTGTCAAGATGGGGTGCTGAGTGTACATTAATGAGAAATAAAATGAACTTTTTTTGATTTTAGCAAATGGCTGCAATAAAACAAAGAGTGACAAATTTAAAGGGGTCTGAATACTTTCCGTACCCACTGTAAATTAACTTTCCTCATTAAAGCTTGTCTGAGAAGGGGTTCACATGCGTCTGTAAAAACATAAAAAACGTAATTAACTGAACAGATCAAACTCAGCTCAAGCTGTTTCACTGAAAACTGGTATTTATACTATGTATATAGGAGTAGTATCGTAGTATGTGCAGCTGAGTTCAGAGCTGTCAGTGTCTGTCCTGTGAGTCATTGATCATGATTTGTCTTTAGGTGTATGCATGGGGCTACAACAACTGTGGCCAGGTGGGCTCAGGCTCTACATCCAACCAGCCCATCCCACGTAGAGTTTCCAGCATCCTACAGAACAAGGTGGCTGTCAGTATTGTCTGTGGTCAGACCTCTTCTCTGGCCGTGGTGGACAATGGAGAGGTGAGTACCAGGGTTACCCTAGACCAGGGGTCGGCAACCTTTAATACCCAAAGAGCCATTTGGACCACAGAAAAGAAAACACCCAGAGCCACAAAACCCTTTTGACATCTAAAATGAGGATAACACTGCATATATCTTTTTTTTTTACCTGTATGGTATGTATAAAAAAGTATAGTGTGTTGTTTTTATGAAATCAATGAAGTGCTGCAGAGAACACAGAATTTTATTTCTGCATGTAACAAAAACATTTTGAACTCAGGAAAAAAAGACACTTGCTTACTGATATATGAGATATGTGCCAGGTGTTATATTTTAACAAGCACAAACTAAAATAAAAAATACATTTTAATTAAATACTCATTATTTATAACAGAAGGATGAAAGAGCCACACGTGGCTCTGGAGCTGCAGGTTACCGACCCCTGCCATAGACCTACTGTGTAGAGTAGTGGGCAGTGTTCAGCCCCTTGGCCACATTCGCTCTGACACTAACTCCATATGGGCCGCTTGAGATCATTGTTAAAATACAAGTAAAAATATTGTCTAACTTTGGCGTCTCTCACCGTGTCATACGGTCACCAAATACAACTTTTATTTTGAAGGCACTGATTTGGGTTTTGTTTCTAAATGAACATTTGTTCAGTCAGTGCACTGATGCCACAGCATCTCAACAGCAACACAGCATGTTTTTGTGCTGTTGAATTTTACTTTTTCTTATTCGTCTTGACAATTTTCTATATTAATAATTCCATCAGTTGCATTAGTCAGACATAAAAACATGTGTAAAATGCATCTAAAATATTATTACTGGTCTTTCTGTTCCTGCAATATTCAGATTTTTTTTTTGTATCATATTTAAGAATTTGTGCATTAATAATTAATTCATGCAGTACTTAGTTAGGTGCATTAGTTTGCTTATTACAACCATTCCAATTTCCCATGTGGCCCCTTGGGAAAATGAATTGCCCATCCCTGGTGTAGACGGTTTTGTCAATAATGTAAACCAAAACAATCCCTTTCTCCCTTTGTGTGTACAGGTGTATGGTTGGGGCTATAACGGAAATGGACAACTTGGTCTAGGAAGTAACGTCAACCAGCTGACCCCCTGTCGACTGGTGGCTCTGCAGGGTCTATGTGTGCAACAGGTTTGATTACATTACACACCGAGTACACAAGAACAACAAGGTGTAGAACAGTCGATGTTTTGGCAGCAGTTTCTGCTGGAGGACTAGATCTGTGAATGTTATTATAGCTGAGACCTCAGTGGTTTTGGTGTTGTTTGTGCCTCTGGTCAGGATGTGTTCTGTAAATGACTGAACAGCCTCTCACCCCTGCCCCTGGTGACACAAAAGCTTTGGTAACAAGTAGGAAATGCTAACAGGTGTTGATGTCTGGGGATGTCTGTCTGTTTGGCTTATTTGCCAGTGGCAAAGAAAATAACACATTTGTGGCTGACAAGAGTTATTCCCAAGTTTATACAACTATTGAAACGTATATGAAAAGTTTTGGTTGTGGGTCGGAATGAGACTTGATGGTATTGTGTTTACTAATGTAGAGGCAGTTATCAATGTTACATATTGATGACATATTCACTATTGATTTTTATTGATTCTGATTGGTTTAGGAAATAGTGTATATTTTTTTACCAGTATTTTACATTTCCTTAAATTGTACATACGGACTATATATTTTTAACCACATCACTATCAAATCAAATATATGGATTAGTAATGTAATAAAAAATAATAATAAATATATTATATTTTTTAATGAATTGGCCATTCACAAAGGTTTTTTTTTTCTTCTTTTTTGCCCCTTCAGGTGGTCTCTGGCTATGCCCACTCCCTGGCATTAACAGATGAAGGTTTACTCTATACCTGGGGAGCCAACACATATGGTCAACTAGGCACCGGCAACAAGAGCAACCAGCTGACCCCAGTACAGATCATGACTGGGAAAGAGAGGTGAGGTCCACTAATCTGTTACATCAAAAAATGAAAAAAAAAAAAACAGTTGGTCACTGTAATCTCCTGGTTTTTGTTTGTATATTTCTAACATCAGAGTTGTCGAGGTCGCCGCCTGTCACTCCACACACACATCAGCTGCTAAAACCCAGAGTGGTCAGGTGTACATGTGGGGCCAGTGTCGGGGTCAGTCTATAGTCCTGCCTCACCTCACACACTTCACCTGCACTGACGATGTCTTTGCTTGCTTCGCCACCCCTTCAGTCATGTGGCGGCTCCTCTCCATGGGTAAGAGATTAAAAATCAGGTGCAGGTAAACAACTGCAGCCTGTTACTACACAATGGTTTTATTTTATTTTTGAAATGTTGACCAATCATTTGTGGGTGTTTGCTTTTCTCATAAAGAGCACGATGACTTCCTGACTGTTGCTCAGTGCCTGAAGAAAGAGTTTGACAACCCAGATACAGCCGACATCAAGTTCTCTGTTGACGGAAAATTCATCCACGTCCACAAGGCTGTCCTTAAGATGAGGTCAGGAATTTTATCCCACAATGATTTCAAATGTTTTCATTTTCTCCAAAGAACCAACTGGATATCTCAAAGTTATTTAAGAAAATAAATAACTTTTTAAATACCCAAATGCTAACTAAATGCAGCATTTAGTGTAACAGTTTCCTTTTTTTTTTTGGCAGGTGTGAACACTTCAGGTCCATGTTTCAGTCCCACTGGAACGAAGACTTGAAAGATGTGATTGAAATTAGCCAGTTCTCATACCCGGTCTATCACTCCTTCCTAAAGTTCCTCTACACTGACCAGGTGGAGTTGCCTCCTGAAGAAGCTATTGGTGAGGACTATTTATACTTTTACTTGTACTTTTTTATTTGTTTCTTATCATCTCATAGTTAATGTTGAGGCATCTGCTCCCTCAGGTCTGCTGGACCTGGCGACATCCTATTGTGAAAACCGCCTGAAACAACTGTGTCAACACATCATAAAGCGAGGAATCACTGTGGAAAATGCCTTCTCTCTGCTGTCAGCCGCTGTTCGCTACGACGCCGAGGTGAGTCTTTGCTGCGAGCCCGACTCATTTTAGCCCAGTGGCTTGTTAGTTAAGCAAGACTTTGAATAACTAATACCAATTAACTGTAGCCTGTTGAGCTCCTACAGCTAACAGTAATTCACACAGTATATGGCGCCGACATTCATGGAATTTTCTTGGCCAGAAATCTTAGAAAGTTTCTGGGAAGATGTTTTTGAGCTTAATACCAATATACAGATGCTGGGTAGTCTGTTATGTAATGACTAGATTTTTATAGCAGGTCTAACAGCTGAGGGTTTTTGCTGTTTAGTCCTAGACATTTCCACATGTGGACACAGGGGCTGCTATTTCCCCATTTCTACCATGGTCAGAGCCACCATTTAAGGGTAAACCATGACTCTGACCCCAAACCTATTTTTGAGTAGTGTGACTACAGTATTTCATGTAAAGCCGTACCTGTTGCATAGGCCGCTAAGTTCATTACATGTTTTAGGATGCATCATATAAGCTGCACCAACCTCCTTTCAAAAAGCAAGTGCTCCTTTATCAGGAAAAGTATGGCTTAGCTTTTCTATTAATGATATGCAGACTGATACTGCTGTTGGAAGTTACCACACATATGTATGTATGGAAATATATAAACATGTGTCATAGAAATGACCACTGTGCTCTGTTTTCCAGGATCTGGAAGAGTTCTGCTTTAAGTTCTGTGTCAACCACCTGACTGAGGTGACTCAGACCACTGCTTTCTGGCACATCGACGGAAACTTGCTTAAAGACTTTATATGTCGGGCCAGTCGATGCAAAGCCTTCAAAAACTGACCTCAGTTTCAGCGGAGCGAAGTGGTCACCTCCATGAACACTAACTACCGGGTGGACGTTCTACTGCAGTCATCTCATTCTCAGCTGCACAGACTGGCAGACGGCGTCACTGCACTGGTAAGTGACTGTCCACACATTTAATCAGACTCCTTTGCTGGTCAGTTTCTTTTGTAGTTTGAGGTTTTTGCCTGTGGCCTTCATCACTTTAATTTTCAATGACTGTCCAGACCTGGTGTTAACATCGTCACTGAGGTGTAGCTGTAGAGGTTCCAAGTAACCGACAGCATTCATGTCCTAGAAGTTCAGACACGGACACCTTGACTTTAGAGACGTTCCACCTTTCATCCAAGAGGCTAAGAACTGAAAACGGCCTCTTCAATGAGGGGGAAAGTGAATGGTCTCAAAAACAGTTCCAGTTGTCTGTGTCTGAACTTCAGTGGACGACTGCCTTTATTGTGTAAATGTCACTGTCACGGTTTGTTTTATTTCATTCCATCAAACAAAAGAATCAACTGTAATGTTGTGATGGCTAAGACTTAAAAAGTGTGACACTCAATGACATTTTTAAATCCTAGGACTGACTGGTCCTTAAAGACAATGATGTTAACACCAGGCCTGTGGATTTTTCTGTTCAACTGACCAAAATGACAGAGTTTGCACTTGTCTTTTTACAACAATTGTTTTACACACCTTTGAGGATGGATGGGTGTCTGATTCTTGGGTTTTAACTGTGAAGACTGTGTTTCTTTGCACTTGGTGATATCAGGAAAGAAGGGAGTTTTTTGAAGATGCAAAAAAACTGGACTTGTTGGTATTTTATTTTGTGTTTAATAGCAGATGCACTTTACATTATTTGACAACCTTGTTTTAGACACAGAATTGTGTCTAAAAGAAGGTTTAGATCACAGTGTAAATGTCATCTTAAGCTGCAGGTCAGATAACAGCAATTACAACTTGAACATCTCTGTAATTGATAGACTATTATTTTCACAAAAGCACTTATTTTTAAATCACCAAAGCAATTTGTAAAACAAACCAAACCGTTAATTCACCCGTCCCATCATTTAGCAAAATTATTTAGTTGATTAAAATTACCTTAATTCCCTTTCACTCTCTGATTGGTCAAAAAGAAAAAGCTTACAGTAACTGTTAATATGCATTTGAAAAAAAAAATTACATGTGTATGTGAAAAGCATAGTTTATCAGAATACTTTGTTACCTTTTAATCTAAACATATTGAACCATTAACTAAACCTACTTTGGATCTGCCACCAGTTTAGTTCTGCCGTACTAGTCTAGAACTGTTAGAGTTTATGTCATGGGTCAAAAAGCTTTATTGTGCAGCTGTTTGGTTTGGTTGGTTTTTTTGCACAGAACAGTTAAAAGTGGTTAACCTCACCAGGGTATTGGAGTGCAGCTGTAAAGGTGTTCAGGTCAGTGACCTTTGACCTAACATTTCTTTTTTTACTTTTGAATCTGCCTGATTCAGTGTTATTATTACTTACATATTGTGGATATTCTCCGCAGTTTTAAAGAAGACAACTGGACCTCCAGTGAGTTGAAGATGTTTCTCCTCTCATCCAAGAGGCTTCATCAGGTCTACTGTCCTGGTGGGAAGTTTCCATGTGTTGATCTAACCACCACAAAGGGGGACGTCGTGTCAAGTAAAATGGTCATGTGAGTCATTGGTCCTATGGTGAAGGAAGGTAAAGGGGTGAAGGAAGCTATCCATCCAGGTTTCTCTTCCTTGTCCTCTGGGTGGGGGTCGTTGGTGTTATCTCAATGGAGGTGTGAGTTATGCCTGTACTTCCTTGGGAGAGCACTAAGGACAGCATTGTATGTGGGTGATAAAGACTTTATCATGACTTTATATGGTGTCTGAGGTACCCTCTGTTCAAAGATGGTCTTCCTTCACCCCTCTCTCAATCCACCTGTCCTCTCTGTCTAGAATGCACACCTTTTGATCATCAAAGGAGTGGCCCTTCACTTCAGGTGGAGGTGGACTGCTGAGTCCTGGCCTGATGTTGTGGCCCTCCTGTGTTGAGCCATATGTTTGTGTAATGGCTGTTTCGATTCCCCAATGTACAGGTCAGAGCATTCTTCATTGCGTTGCACTGCATCTTGTCCATCCTGTGGACAAGGTTCTGCCTCAGGGTGTTGCTGGGCTTGAAATGCACTGGGATCTGATTGGTGTTAAAGAAACTCAGGAAGATCTCAAGCCCAGCAACACCCTGAGGCAGAACCTTGTCCACAGGATGGACAAGATGCAGTGCAACGCAATGAAGAATGCTCTGACCTGTACATTGGGGAAACCAAAGCAGCCATTACACAGATGTATGGCTCAACACAGGTGGTCCACAACATCAGGCCAGGACTCAGCAGTTCACCTCTACCTGAAGGAGAAGGGCCACTCCTTTGATGATCAAAAGATGTGCATTCTAGCCAGAAAGGACAGGTGGTTTGAGAGAGGGGTGAAGGAGGCCATCCATGTTAAACTAAAAAGATTTTGTCTTTGAACAGAGGAGGGTGCCTCAGACACCAACTATCACTTACCTACAATGCTGTCCTTAGTGCTCTCCCCAGGAAGTGCAGCCATAATTCAAACCTCCATTGAGGTAACTCTGAGGACAGGTAGAGGGAACGATCCACCATAGGGCCAACAACTCACGTTACCACTTTACTCGACACCACACCCCCTTTGTGATGGATAGATAACCACCTGGAAACCTCCCACCAGGACAGTAGAACTGACGAAGCTGCTTGGATAAGAGGAGAAACATCTTCAACTCACTGGAGGTGCAGTTGCCTACTTTAGAACTGCTTTTGAGATTATTATAACATACACTGTTGAGTTGCATTTGCACTACTGCTGTGGAAATTTCCAATTGTATTTTTGCTACTTTTTACACATTTTGAAAATCAGTACTATGTATAAAGATGTTCCTGTTACATTTTGTAACTTCTGCAAATAAATAAATAAATGCATTGAAAAGCAGCTGCCAGATTTTTCTTTTTTAACTATGTTCACCAACTCTATTGTACCTAGCTGCATCAAAATTAATTATTGAAACTTTGTAATTTTGATTTTTCCAAAATATCCAAATATCCAAATAAATGTCAAAGTTTGATAAGACGATTCAAAACGAGCAATAACATAGCTGTAAATGTATTTTGAAGAGGTTATTTACGTTTAGCTCTACCAGTGTAAACATATCTTTACAAGAGGAGATAAAAACATGCCTTGGTAAACTAGCATTAAAAATAAAAGCATCTCCTTTGTATAGCGTGTGTACTTGCTAGGATAAAGTACAACATCTACTGTCAGAACAGAGAAAGTCAGAGAAATTACAAAAATTAGACTGAGGTTGAAGATTACTGTCCGTTTCTGACCTTCATGTTCCGTTCGTAGCTGCGGTCAGAGATGCGACGACATCGGTCATGGCTGCTGCTGCATTGAGAACCTCCCTTTCTTTTCGTTTTAACTCTGTTAAAATAACAGAAGCTATAGTAAAAATGCAGCATTCTCTCTTTTTACTTCCTATATGCCACTAAAAATTGATTCGCATTTATGTAAAGGCTGAGTTAAGTCTGGGTTCAAACTCTTGAACCAACAAATGGAGACCATCAGCCTCAGGCCAACAATAGTGAAAATGGTTTCTTACCTTCCTGCTGCTTTGTCACAAACTCTGTCAATTTCCCTGACGTCTGAATCACTGACAGTGCAACATCATAATCTGAGAAGACAGAACCTCAGATTAGGAAAAGACAAATAGAAATCCTCCAAACATGTTGCAAAGATAACGTCGAAGAACAATGGTTCCTACCCTCCTGACTGGCCACATCAGACTGGATTCTCCTGGAGATGTCATTCACCGTATTTATGAAATCCTTAAAAATTGCCTCCGTGACTCCTGCTGCATTGCAGCTTTTCCAGAACCTTGAGGAGTCGAGGGGTTCCGAGTTAGTGGGAGCCGCCGTTTGTGATGAAGCTGAGCAGATGGCGACACAGGAGGTGGTGCACTGAGGTGGATCAGTAACACTGGGATCTGTGGAGTGGTCAGGAACAGGAGCTGAGTCAGATGGTCCAGTAGTGGGTTGATCAGGAGGACCAACAGGAACTGGACTTGGAGACAAAGCTGAAAAAACAATGTAAAAACATGCATTACTGCTGTTTAAGATTTTTATTCTCTAAATTCACAACCTCACAACGTTAAAAACCAACCTGATTCTTCTGTCAAGACCATCATCTCCACCTTCACTGGTGTCTCAGGAACTCTTCTCCATGCAGTTTGAGTACAGGTTGACGTAGAACCGAACACAGGGGATGGAGAACGTGGGCTGGAGTGGACATTTGACAACAGACGCTGTCGCTCAACAGTCCCTTCCGATTCAAACATATTTTTGCAGTCCACAGCCTGATGATGACAATGTGGAGAAACACATCGGACAACAATTGGTCACATAGTACTGTTTAAATCATGGCTCTTACAGAAAGTACATAATGATTTTTACTTAGGAACTTATAATTCATTGATGTTTGACACTCTGCTGGCAGAGTACTACGAACATGCCGTTGTCCCATTATCCCTCTGGCAACCTGACAAAATTAGGTCATGGCCATTTTTAAAACTTAATTGTGTTTGCATTTTTCACGATGGTAAGGC